CAGTGAACTGCAATGTTATTAAAAACCAGTGACTTACAAAGGGATTTGTTCCTTACTCCTAAGTGAAGAGGAAGTCCAGACATTACCCTTAAAGTGACATTTACGCACAGCTTCCAACTGACAGTAGTTTTTCTGAACTCAAATGCACTGCTCCAGCTATCAAAGTTTACATGGAGTATTTTGGGAAATTCTTTCAAAAGCAGAATGCCTGGCTCTGCAGTTCATTAAGGGTGCCACTCCAAGAGATGCAACTGCCAAAACTGGTTAGTTACTATGAAGGCAGTTACCCTGTAATGCTGCAAGGCAAACATTATTAAAACTTTAGTTACATATGTGGTGTACACTTCAAAACTCCACACTTTCAAAGGCGTTATTAAGGAGCCAACATTCTGACTTAGTACTCATCCAGTTCAACAGAAGCTAATAAGAAGCATGAAACAGTACATACTATGTAAGAATTTTGGCAGAACACCACATATATCGACCTTACATTAAAAACCATAATGGTCTTAAATCATCCTAAACCTCTGATATCCATTCACAAGAATACTCTTGTTCTTTCATCAGAGACCACATGTCATTCTGATTCATATATAATGCTAATAATATAAATTTCACAAAATATGTCTGAACCTGACCCAGACACTTAAATATTTTCATAACTCTGGAGGCAAAAGGAAAACAGGCAAAAATCTTTTTACTGTGCAGTACAGCTGACTTTGAACAAATGGCCTAGATGTAAGCAGTAGGTGGCAAAGTTAAAATAGAAATGTTAATCCTGTGAGAGCCCTTGCCTGCTGTGTTACAGCCTTTCCTAAAGATTAAGAAAAAAAGAAAAAAAAAAGAAGGGGGAGTAAGGAACATAAACTTAACCCACAGAGCTAATACTAAGACTTAAACAAAACAAAAATGCTGTGAAACACCAACAAATACTACCTAATAAAACCAAGCATTGCTTTTAAAATACATTTCTTTTCAACCTGTTCTTTTTAGAGGGGGTATTAGTAGGAATGAATTGGAAAATAATTAAATTTAGTTTCTAGTTTAAGTTTTAATAGAACAAGATATTTTTTACTCAAGATAAAAGGAGAAATATTTTTGGCAACATCATGAATTCCTGTATTATAATTACATATTAGAAAATAGCTTCTTTAAGAAGCCTTCATTTTCCTAAAATGATCCAATTATCAAACAAAACAGGGTAAGCAAACGTTTTCTGTAAAAGGCCAAATAATACAAATTTTAGGCTTTGTGGGTTAAGCAGTCTCTGTGGTATCTACTCAGCTCTGGTGCTGCAGCACAAAGGCAGCTATGGGCAAAATGCAAAGGAATGAATATGGCTGTATTCAAATAAAACTTTATGGACTCCAAAATCTAAAAATGTTATATATTTCACAGCTCATGAAATATTCTTATTTTTTTCAATCATTAAAAAATGTTAAGCACCATCCTTAGCTTATGAACCAAACATGCAGTGGCTCCATTTGTTTCAGAGTGTGGGTTGCTGATCCCTAGGCTAGATATTGATAATACAACCTGTATGAAATGAATGATGAGAGGACAAAGCTTTCTTTCTTTCTGTTATCTATTTATCTTGGCATTTAGCAGCACAGAAAATATAAAGAGCTGGAAGGCCAGATTACCAGCCTTTCAAACTCAGCCAGCATAGAATGCAGTAACGGGCTAATGGGAACAAATGCCAGGCACCAAGCCCACACAACTGCCATGGAGATTCAGCCAGGTACAAAATCATTCATAATATTCTAAGTGAATATAGTCACACAATATCCCATCTGCATTCTGGTTAACTGTCACATAAGTTTTTCCTACAGCAACTGCTTTGACAACTAATATCTTCATTGAATTCCCCTGAATTTTCCATGACAGTACAGGGAAGTCCATGAGAGAAGTTTGCCTCAGTGTGGCAATAACTGGACCATTGTTATTTATCTATAACAGCTGAAAGGCTCTCTGGTATGTGTGGATTTCATAACACCCAAAACATACTATATCCAGACATTTAGATACACAAAGAAACCACAGTGACCTGTGATTCTTCAATGTTTCATTTCTGAACAGGCTATTTTATTAACTTTAGTGACAAACAAGCATCAAGAACCCTCTTTTGATGAAATTTCACCAGCAATCCAAGAATGACTTGGGCAACGAGTATTTTATACTAATATACTGGTTGTTAGAGTTTCAGGTAAATTGAAATCTGTTTTAAAAATATAGTGCAGTCTGATACACCCATGAGGATAAGGTTCAATGGTTCAGTAAGTTACATCTATTCAGAAAGATGCTGTTGGCAGAGGTACTGTCATACCATGCACTTTCCTATTAGAGTTGAGTCTTTAAGAAACTCATGTGGCTTTGTAAGCAATCATTAAGGAAGCTTCCCAGTACAATTAAAAACATATGCCTAAATACTGTTTTTCAACAGGACACAAATGTTTAAATACCAATATAAAAATATGTAAAGGTGCCAGACACTTACGTGGTAAGGAAAGCCAAAGAATTTGTACAAAAGTATGTTTCCTACTAATGTCTATCTGAATAACCATTACTGCACAGTTTATAAAGACTTAAGAATTTCATCCATGAAATCTACATGTTTAATGTAGATCTTCATGAAAAAACAACCCAATTTTCACATCAGGGTCCACTTATAAGACAGATTTCTACAGGAAAAAGAGAAATTACTCACTTTTTTTTCTGAGAAATAAGAGTTATTAGGGAGAAGTATAACACTAAAATTACCACTTCAATTCAGGAAAAATAATTCTTTTTCAAATGCAGGCTTCATGTCGATGACCTGAGCCAACCCTAAATGCAACTTTTGTAGTCATATGGAGGTTACATCCTTGAGGAACATAGCTTATATACAAATGAAGATTAGCTTTTGCAATCAGTTATGAATTCATTTTATTACATGAATAGCAAAGGGTGTAGCTCTTATTTTCAATTCATTTTGACAAATATTTTTTGAGCTTACTAGGTACAATGATAAATCTACACAGTAATTATGTATCAAGGAGAAATAGAACCTTGAAAGTGCAGTATGAATACAAATATGGAAGACTGAATTCTGTATTCGTCAGAGAGCCTTACAAGTGGATAAACTGAGTTTGAAGCATGATGTTTGAAATATTAATGGGCCATACAATTTGTGTTATCTAACAGAAAGTTGTAAATGTAAATATTGGGCTCAGGAAATGGCAATGACTAGAAATACACATTTGGGATTTTTTTTTTCACAGAATAGATCATTAAAACCAATGAATGGCCAAAGAATATGTAAAAAGAAAAGGACCACGGACAGAACCTCAGGGAATACCATATACTCACTGGCAGGAGGAAGCCAGGCTGATGAGTGAAATTAAAAGGGATCTGCTAGGGTAAGAGGGCCTTTTGTGCCTCCTGATTGAAGCAACTGGTAAAGAGAGATTCCACAATGCTGAGTGAAGCAAAGAGGAGATGGAGGTATCTCAATGGTTAAAGGCCATTGAATTTTCTTATCACGAGAAGATTGAAGACTTAGCAAAACCAGCAGTGTAGCAGAGGTGGCAGTGGGGTGAAGGTATAGGTCTACTTTCATGTCCTGTAATAAGATTTCTAAGACAAGGATTCAGTAGAAGATGAAATGGAAGAATAAAGTGAATAAAAATATAACTGGTAAAGAAAGGTCCTGGAGATGGCAGGATGGGACAAAATTGAGAGCAGAGTGGGGAATGGTTAGTCTAAGAAGAATGGATTATTCCTCAGTTATGGGGCAAGCAAAGAGAGAATCAGTGAAAGCAGGTATGTCCAAGTGTGGGAAAGAATGCCAAATAATACATGTCAGAAGATTCTCAACCTCAGATCAGTACAAGCTGAAATTATATGAGAGTAAAAGACTCGGGTCTGTGATTTTAAGTATAAGAATAGACAAGGGTAAGATAAGAACTTTAGAGGAAAAGCACACTTTGAAAACTTTATTTAGCCAAGAAAAAACAACCACATCTTAAACTGATTGAAGTCTGACTGCAATTAATTCTTTAACTCAGAACACATATTCCACTGCTGCATAGCTTATAGTGAGGTTTATAGACACATTTTATATATATTTCTTAAACAAGTAGAGAAACTACCTAATTTCATGGAGTAGTTCTGATATTACCAGTAGAGATTTCATCAGTGCCTCCAAGTTAGTCAGGAATGTTTGAAAGATGTTATTAATTCTGCTGGGCTGGCGGACTAGAATTTCTTTTGAACAGTGGTTCTCAAACTTTAGTGTGTGTCAGAATTATCAGGAAGGCTTGTTAAAACACAGATCGATGGGTCTCATCTCTAGAGTTCCTGGGTCAAGCCCAAGCATTTGCCTTTCCAGTAAGTTCTTGGTGATATTAATTTTACTGGTCCTGAGACTACAATTTTGAGAAGCACTGCTATAAGGTTAGCCATTCCACATACATGTAGGTCTATAAAAAAAGAGTATTTTCACTCAACTTGCTATTAAATAAATTGACAAACTAGAATTTTGGATGTATTAAAATGGTACCATTAGTACTTTCAAAAAATCTGTATTTGAGTTATTAAATTCACTTTTAAATGTTACCTAGAACATATATATCATTATCATTATTATTGGAAAGTAGTTCCATGTATTTACGAAAAAGTTGCAGAATTTGCTTCAGTTGTGTGAAACACTTAATCATGCTTAAAATGTCTTCCCACCCCTTCATTCAACTCATTATTATTATATTTCACTATAACATTTGCCAAGAACAGTCCTAGGTGCTTTTATATATTAACCCATTTGTTCCTTACATTGACCCTATAAAGTAAGTTATTTTATTAATTTCATTTTACAGATGTAAAAACTGAGGCATACAGACATTAAATACCTCACTGAGGGTCAGACAGAAGTAAACATTGGAGTCTTTTGTGGCTCCAATCTCATGGCCTTTATTGTACTCTTTTACTGCACCTTAAAGTATAGTTCAAGCTCATACTCTTACCTGTTCCAAGGAACAGGACATGGTATCTACCATCAGCAGCATTCACTCGATCCACAGCTATCTTTGTGTACTTGTAGTCGGTGCCGATACGAACAATCAAAGGCCTTCTGTGGACTGGGTAGATGGAATTGTACATGAGAGGATGGTTCCGAATAAAAGTGACAACATCATCCGGGAACTCCTTAGTGGTTCTCATATTGGGTGTAAATGCTCCTCCTGGGCACTACAAAAATGTTTTAAATAGAAGCAGTTAATAAGATAGTTACTTTGTTTTAGTAATAATAAACAGGCCTCTACTTTACAAAATACTTAGAAGCTCAAGTTGTTTTAACCATACAGATCTTCCTCCACTTATGATGGGATTATGCCCTGAGAAACCATAGCAAATTGAATATATTATATGCCAAAAATGCATTTAATACACCTAACCTAGAAAATATCACAGCTTGGACTCACCTATCTTAAACATGCTCAGAACACTTACATTGGCCTCCCCTAAGCAAAATCATCTAATACAAAGCCTGTTTTGTTGAGTATCTCATGTGATTTATTGAACACAGTAGTGAAAGGGAAAAACAGAACGGTTGTATGGGTACAGATTGGCTGTAAGAGTAATGCTTGTTTACTCTTGTGATGATGTGGCCGTTTGGGAGCTGCAGCTCACTGCCTCACCCAGTGTCATGAGAGAGGGTTGTCCCACATGTCACCGGCCCAGGAGAGGATCCCAATTCAAAGTATGGTTTCCACTGAATGTGTATCACTTTCATGCCACTGTGTAGTTGAAAAATCATAAGTTGACCATCGCAAGCCAGGGAGTGTCTATATTTGCTACCCATGAAGAGAAAACAGCATGACTCTATATGGTCTTACCTGTAGAACATGAATATACAGGTGTATAAAATGATCATGTAAGTGAGGTTAAGTCCGCTTATCCTCCCTTATTTGTTTTCAGAGAGGAGCTGATTCCATTTTGTATAAGACAGAGCTTTTCACCTTCCCATCTACTACTTCTTTATCCTTACTTACTCTATGCCAGGTACAGTGTTGCTAGAAAAGAAAACCTTGTGGATATAATCTAATGCTGCTACTGGCTAAAATAAGTTAGATTATCATTATCAAATTCAATCAGAACTCCAATGTGCAAGAGGTTTATTCCATCTGATCTCCCATCCCAAAAGAGGGATTTCTGAAGTTGGGGAAATGAGACCTGATAATTTCCCTCTAGAAAAGATTTCAGTGATTTCCATTACATGTAGAATAAAATCCCAACAGCTTAGCACAGTCGGTCAGGCCCTGCATGGATGGCCGCCTGTGTCTACGATTCCCATGGTAGTTCTTGCTCTTTCAGAGCCTCAAGCATGATCCCCCACCACTACCCCAATAACTTGGCACTTGATGTTCTGCATCTGGAGTACCCCTCTCCAGATAACTCCATGGTTTCCTGTGTTAGCTCATTAAGTTCTTAGTTCAAAAGTTACTTCCTTAAAGGCAATGACACACAGAAAAATAGTTCTCTATCTCCATCTCTACTCTCTGTCTTCTTAGCCTACTTTATTTTTCTTCACACACTTATTTATCTAACTGTGTATTATATACTAGTTGCTTGTATCTTTATTGTATGTTTTTTTCTTTAGAATGTAAACTGTATATTGACTTTAACTGGGTGTATTTTGTTTATTGTTAAACCCTCAGAACTTCAACAAAGCTGTCAAATAGATATGAACAAAAAGTAGTTTAATAAGTGAATTACTCTATTGTATCTGGCATTCAATTTTGGTACAAGGGCTAAAAGAGGGGTCTCAATTCTGGCTAGGACAGGAAAAATTCAGAGCATTAAGTTCAAAGGGGCCAACAAAGCAAAAAAGGAGATTTGGAAAAGGACTGCCAGACAGCTTCAGCAGTTCTGGAAAGGGAGCATGACAAGAGCTTCTGAGGAAAGATTCCATTTACAGGGCACCTAAGGCCAAACACAAGGGTAGCCTGGGAGCTACTCAAGCTTGGAACTCAAACTCACTCACTAATAGACTTAAGTATTAAGTCTGTTGGGTATAATCTTTTAACACAAACATTATCTGTCTCACTCTAATATCTCTACTTGGAAACAAAAATTCTTTGTCATATTTTTCATGAAACAAAAGCACTCCTGTTCCAGTTTTCATATATTCTCTTTAGAGAGGTACGAGGTAAAAGGAAAGCAATAATCAAGCTTCTTGGTCAATAGCAATGGGAACAACATCTGTGGTAAATAGCAGGATGTAACGGAGAAATACAAACTGCCAAGTTACATATTATTCAAAATTGGGCAATAAACAATTACATCTAGATAATTGCTCCTATCCAGGAATACAAGACTAGTGTGACTAGATGTCCACAGAAGATAGAAATGTGGAATTTTAAGTGAAATCTGCAAAATTTTAATGCTGACTCAATGTAAGAAAAGAAAAAGAACTTCAGAGACCAAACAAAACACAGCAACCTCTGCGTTAAATCCTTGCAGCAGCCACTGTCCATTATTAGTGCCTGTGGGCCAGTACTCTGAGGCAGAGCCACGTTTGCAAATAAATCTCAGCAAATTACTAATGTGGTCTCACTCATTTAGACTGTATCATCTTGAATGCAATATTTAGACTAACTTTGGCTAGTTAACATTACTAGAATTTTTTACAGGACCAGTAAAAGTAGTTTTCTTTTTGTAGAAAGGCACAAGGAGCAATTAAATGACTTCACTAAGAAGAGATAATGAGACAAGTAATAAAACTAAGTCTCTCATTCATTATTCCATTAACTAGACTTTCATCTGGAGCTCATACACATTTTTGAGGAAAAAGCATTATATCTGAATATACATGCTTATAAATTGCCCATGAAAAAGACCAAATGAGGACCCAGAGTTTCATTTGAGGGTGTTGTAAACTGATGGATGTGTTCCATACTTCTGAGAAGTGTAGAATTATAGGTGTTTTCTATCCTCATTCCTCACAAAAGTGGAAAAAGGGGAATATATCACTCACTGAATGAAAACATGGAAAGAACAAATACATGGGTAATTTAAATAGTTGCAGCCCTTCACAAAATACCACTAATTATGGTTTGCTAAGCTGAGATGTCTCCTTAAATATTTGCGAGCACTCACTTGTAAATTCCAGAAAGATCCAAAGTTAGCATATAAACTAGGCAATTTATATAATTTCCAGTTAGCAATTATTTTCATGTGTGATAAACTTATTAAATTATTGCCTAGTTTCTGGGTTTTACATAATGGTTATTGAAATTCAGATAAAAATTATGCTTCAGTTGCTCAAAACTGTAGTTATTAAATATGTAACCCACACAAGTCAAATCACTTATTTTATATTCATTCAAATGCTTCCAATTTGGGACTTTTGCTTTATGTTCACTATGAACTCCTTGCTTACAAACTAGTATCTCCTAGTATGAGTTTATTGTCAAATTACAAAAGAAATCTTTGACAATAATTAATTTTCTATTGATTCATGGCATAAATTTTGCAGATAAGACACTGAGTAAGTGACAATGATGGTGGCAAGAACAGAAATTGATTTCTCTTTGCCGACACTCTATCTGGGCTTGTGAGTTTGCCTATTGTAATAATGCCAAGTATAAATAAGAGGTGATTATACTTCACCTCTGATACACAAAAGCATATGTACTGAAACCTCATGATAGTGTAACATTCATGTGCTAACATAAAACAAAGCCTTTGAACACTTATCAGGCTGATGTCTCATTCTCCAGGAGGATAATTGTTTTACAAATAGTCATTATATAATTTTGGTTAAACCTCTCCTTGTTTGATTTCCCAGTTCTAGCTGTCTGTTTATCAAGCAGTGATAAGCACTCCTTTTCTGAGTAAAGACATTTTAAGTGTTTTGATCAATAAACTGTTAGGTGAAACACTAGGAGCAATAAGAATGCCATATTCCAGAAGTATTAGCAATTGTTGCCCTCACTTAATTTCCTTTCTATTCTCATATATTCCAGAATATTTTCTGTCTTTGAATGCTCATAAATATTTTTCCAATCTTCACATCCATTACACTAATTTTCAGGAGTAATATATTCATATATTAATTCATATGTCCATTCTTTGGAAAGCTTTTAATTGATAAAGTATTTTGATGTGCCCAGGAGGAGACAGAAGAATAAGAAGCTACCATTGTCCTTTAGACACAAGAATTCTCATAAGGAAGATGGACATATTCAAAGCAAAATAACAATTAAGACATGTAATAATAATTTGAGAATATAAGATAAACAACAGAGCTTGGTTTATAATCAATTGCATATATTTGAATTGATATTCTTAAGTGATTTTAGAATAGTAGAGAACTTAGGCTGCCAGGATTAGTGAACAGGTTTAGAGATGAAAAAAACAAAATTTGGAGTATTTAGGGAACACATACAATTGCTGGGGCACTGCTGGATCAAAGAGAGCAAACTGGAGGAGAGAGGTAGAAGTCGAGGCTAACAACAATAGAAAAGAAATGCAAAACTAGTGAGAGAAGGACTGGCATGCTGAAGGGCAGCTTAACACTCAAAAGATGAGTGGTATATGGATGAATAAATGGACATAAATAAATGGCATTACAGAATCTGGGCTAGTTTCTAGCATTAGCATTTGAATCTTGGGTCTTGAGAGAAAAGCGATCTATGTTTAAACCCTTGGTAATTCAGGTCCATTCTTTAAAGTCCAAATAATTACATAGTTGAAGACATATATATGCACTGGCCAGCCCTCATCTTCCTTACATTCATCCTCCACTACTTACCAGAGCCCTCTGCTCTAGTCCTGCTAGCCCAAGTAGAGCTTCAAGGACTCACTTCTTAATTTCTAGCTTTGCCTTGTTATGTATGCTACCACCTTTGCCTGAAACACCCTTCCTTCCTATCCAAATTACCCACATCCAACCACCCTTCAAGGCCAGCTCAGACTTACATTTTCATATGCCTTCCCCAGTCAAGACTGTCCCATGACTATTTCTCTCTCCTCTAGACTTTGATAGTATTTATTGTCTATTTTATTCACATGTCTGGAATAATGATGTCAAACAATATGTAATTAACTTTTCATGTCTATATGCCTTTTGTGTTTAATTGTAACCTTTCCTAGTTGAACCACCAAAAGATGCATGCAATCAACAAAAGTGGCCAGCAATAAATTTCTCCTTTTCTTGCTACCACTAAGTGAATCATGAATTTTCTGTGTTCTTTTACTGTACTAGGTAGCAGGCCTGTTCAAAGCATCATAATCAAAGCAGATGGTTGTGTTCCCCTTATAAACAGATGTTAAAAGTGAAGAGTTTTATTAGGTTCTGCTTTAACAGGATAGTGTAAGCAAACACAATCTTCTACAGAAGTTTTATACACGTTGCAACAGAATAATGTAATATGTTAGCTCAGCCACAGACAAAATCTGCAGTCTTTGGCTGCCCTTTCCAACATACCAAAGGTGTCTTATTTCTTCCACAAACTTGAATTACTTATGGAAAAACATTATGACACAATTGGCAGGCTTTTTCCTACTGACTTAGGCTTGCTGGCGGGGCAGTTTGCTAACACATCTTGTGGGTGCTTGAAAAGAGGCACCCACAGGAAACATTAGGATGAGGGTATAAGATTTCTATGCCCCCTCATTTCTTTAAGAATCCAGTCATATATTTATGAAGTTGACCCAGCAACTAGACTATCTTGGAGGGAAATAAAGTACAGTGATCACAGTTGATCCTTCACTGGGAGGATGTTAGAGGCAGCATTCTTAACACTAGAGAAGAGAGAATGCTTTGGGTCACTTGGCGGCAGGTCTTCTGGCTACGTAAGTGGGATGTTACACCCTGAAGCCCAGGGAGGAGACAGACACTGGCCATTCTGAGTCAGAGGGCTGACTTCATGGTATGTAGCTCAGTGAAGGGTGGAGGGACCAAGTCTTCAGGGAGGTATGCTTTTCCAGGAGGAGTTCCAGAGGTCATTCCTCCACCCTGCCTCTTATTTCCTAAGCATCACTCAGCTGACAGTTTTTTTTTTTTATTTAAAGGAGCTGCTCTGATCTCAGCACCAGATGTGAGAAACCACATTATAGGAATATGTCTCAAGTTCTGACTACTCCCTTTTTTTCACAGAGTCTGCTCCAGATGTGTGTTACTAAGCCTTGGCTTTTACCACACTGCTTTAGAAAAGGACCAAAATGCTTATTCTTAGGAGCTCAGAAATAGTGAAAAGTGGGACTGTTAGCAGAATTTTCTAATTTAGCATTGGCTAATTTTGTTTTAATAAAAAAGGTTTATCTATTCCTACATTTTATGCAGAATAATAACTATTTAACATTAGTGGTTTTCTCCCTGTGATTCTCAGAGTCCTTGTGAGCTGTTGTTCGGGTAAAGAGCCTGATGAGGGTTAGGACCAGGCGTGGCTTTTCTTCAGGAAAAAAAAAAATCCCCGATTTGTAATGTTTGCCGATGCACAAGGTGTAAATACTCCCGCCATGCTGATTTCAGTCCCACTGTCACGTCTCCACTTGAGGGGAGGTGTATACAATCTGCTCTCCAAGTCAGGTGCAGGCTGGCCCCAGGACACACCCACTGAGGCTCCCAGGCCTCAAATCTTGATTCAATTAGCATGGCATCTGATCTCTTTTATTTGTTTATCTAAGGGGTTTCTCCTAAGGTTTTACTTGGGGGAAAATTAAATTTTGTTGAGTTCTGAAACCAGTATATATGTTGTTCAAAATAATAACCAATAAGAGCATATACAATCAGAACTACCTCTTAATTTTCTGTATTAAGATGAAGCAATGACTTTGTCAACTTCGAACAGCAAGTAATTCTCAAAAATATGATTTATTTTTGAATATGTTACCAGTGAGTCACCTAGACATGCACGAAATAGAGTGGAATAAAATAATGAGGGCCTTGTGTTGTGTTGGAATTTGAAAGTTCCTCGGCTTCTCCCTTCATTTCCATACTCTAAGGTAATCCTTGCATCTTATCTACCATACCCTAATGTGAGGTATCTTAAGAGAGATAATCTGTTGACTTCTTTTCCTTGTGTTATACAAAATAATGAAATGTTTTTCCCACCTCCCAGTCAGCCATGATGAAGTATGGATTTTAAAAATTTAATTTCTTCATGGACAAGTAGCAATGCTTATAATCTTTCCAAAGTCAAGTCAATTAAGAGTTAATTATTTTAATAAAATAGGTATCAATGATTAATCTTTGAGTTTCCTAGCCAGGGAACCAAACTTGAACCCTTTTAAATTTTGAATAGTTAAATAGGTTCTTTATAGGCTTAGCAAACTATTTTTCCTATTTTTTTAAAAAAATTGACAGTGGTATAATTTAAGATGGTGAGAAAATAAATAAGTTAATAATATATAAATTCTAATAATGCAAAAATAAAGTGAATCAACAAATGTAAAAATTATGTGGGGTGAATAAAGCATATTGGCGAAGGGAATTTCATATTCAAAGAAAAAGGATAAAGAAACATTTTGTTGAAAAAATATTACATCAACAACAATCTTTTTATTTTTTTCCATAAAATTATTCTTCTCTAGTTACAGCTACCACATTTTATAATTATAACCCTATTCTATAAAATATAAAGATGAAAGAAAATTATGTCTCTCTATAGTAAATTGCATAAATTTCCTCCCAATTCAGTGTACTGCATGAGATTTTGCAAAGACAGAAACTATAACCAATAGTCTAGAATGCAATGCAGCATTACCAATGGGCCAAATGAAAAACAAATAGTAGGGCTGTGATCGTTGTAGTCCTACAAAGAATTCAATTACAATCTGGCAGTGCATTGTCTATAGGTTCAGCTGCAAAAGTGCATTTTCCACGTACCCTTTAATAATACTAGTATTGCAAGACATGAATATATCTGTATGCCTCAGTTTATAAGCTGAATTATAACATCACTTTCATTGTAATTATTTGCTCACACATACCATTTTCTTCCTTTGAGAAATTTACAACATATAACTTTTAATTAAATATATTTTAAAATTGAAATACCTCTACACAATTTATCTCTAAATTAATTCTCACATGGTCATGAGATTCCTTAATATAAGAAAGGGCTGTGAAAAGCAATTACCATTCAAATTCTTAAGCTACTGAAATGTTAACACTTTTCAAGCTATGGTTCTTATGATAATAAAATCAGGAAAATATCTCTGCCCTGTCTAACACACCCAGTTGTTCTGAAACCTAAATGCGATCTTATTAGAATAGCACTTAGGAAAAATTGCAGAGAGTTATCACATATATACCTTTTTTAAAAAAATCCAAATCTGGGAGCCCATGACCTGAAAATTATAGTGAGTAAAACAGTACATCTATGGTTGTATTTAAAAAGCACCAACATGGTATTTATTTCTTGTTAAGTTGAATTTTTTAAAAAAGCAAAATAAGAAACTTTTCTGGATACTTACAGTTCCTGGGCGAGGGTATGGAATTCTACCCTGATAGGATATCAGCTGATGATTGGGCCCTTCTTTGTGGGCAAAAGGTCCATTAAATACAGTCTGTATATCAGACAAATGATACACACATACTGCTGATCCTTTAAAAACTGAACTAAAAAAAGAAACAGAAAGAGATCCATTTTCTTATTTTTTAAATTTAAATTCAATTAAAAAAATAGATGGCAAATTTTTGTGATAAAAAGTTGATATGATTCATCATGAAAAAGTTGAATGTTATGGTACACATGGTAAAGCAAAAACATGTCTACTGTTTGAAAATAAGCCATTGATACATAAAGCATTGAAACATTTAACTAATCCATGGAGGTAGTAGATAATAATGTTACAGGAAAGTTATGAATGTTTCCAAAATATAGGATAAGTCAAATAAGTCCAACTAACAAAAATGAACTGATGAGGAAACAAAAGCAAAAATAAACAAGTGGGATTCATCAAACTAAAAAGCTTCTGTGCAGCAAAGAAAACCATCAACAAAACAAAAAGGTAACCTACTGTATAGGAAAATATATTTGCAAATGATGAATCTGACAAGGAGCTAATATCCAAGATATATAAAGAATTCATACAACTCAACACTAAAAAAACAAATAACCTGATCAAAAAATGGGCAGAGAAACTGAATAGACATTTTTCCAAAGAAGACCTACAGATGGCCAACCAACACAGGAAAAGATGCTCAGCATTACTAATCATCAGGGATATGCAAATCAAAACCACAATGAGATATCACCTCAAGCAGTCAGAATGGCTAGTATCAAAAAGACAACAATAACAAGTGTTGGTGAAGATGTGGAGAAAAGGGAACACTCACATACTGCGGGTGGGAATTTTAAAATGGTGCAGCCACTACTATGGAAAACAATATGGAATTTCCTTAGAAAACTAATGATAGACATATTGTATGACTCACTAATTCTACTTCTGGGTATTTACTCAAAGAAAATCAACAATTTGAAAAGATATATGCACCCCTATGTTTATTGTAGCATTATTTACAATAGCTGAGATATGGAAACAACCTAAGTGTCTATCAATCAATGAATGGATATACTAGATGTGGTATAGCTGATATCCTTATACAATAGAATATTACTCAGCCATAGAAAAGAATGAAGTTGTGCCATTTGCAGCAAAGAGTACAGACCTAGAGGGTATTATGCTAAGTGAAATAGGTCAGAGAAAGGCAATACCATATGATTTAACTTATATGTGGATCCTAAAAAACAAAACAAATGACCAAACAAAATTGAAATAGACTCTAAACATAAGAACAGACTGGTGTTTCCCACAGGGGAGGTGGGTGAGGGGAGGGGTGCAATAGGTGAAAGGAAAAAAATTAGTGGGCATGTTTGATATCTTGATCTGGCTGATGGTTGCATGAGTGCATAAATGTTAAACTTCACCAAGCAGTACACTAAGATTTGTGGATTTTATTATATGTACCTCAATATAAAAAATTTAAAAAAATGTTTAGAAAAGGAGGTGGAGAAATGATATGTAGTATGCTATAAAGAAAAAAGAATTTATTTATTAAAAACATAAATTTGAATTCTAAATAACTATCAATACAACCTATCATAGTTTAACTAACAGAAATAAATCTCATTAGTGAGAATATCATATCTGTTTGTTGTAAGATTATTTTAATGTGAGAATGTTCTCACATGTTGTCCTAAATAGTAGATGGAGAAATCTAAATGGTTTTGCATTTATGTACTTTCCCTAGTAGTCACAATAAAAAAATGACAGAAAAAAACAGTCGCAGAAAAAAATATATGGTCCAAAGAAGTTCATTAAAATACTTTTAGTCAAAAAAAAGTCTCATAAATTTGTTTGGATCCTTACTGAAATTATTTGTGTTGTCACTAAGGCAGACTGGCTGAAACCAATATTTCTCTGACTCGCATATTTCTCTTATATTAGATAGCTAATGGAAAACTCAGATTTCAATAGAAAAAAAAACAAGATATACTATTCATCATTAGCATTAACAGTCAGAAAAGACTACTTTGAATTTTTCAATATTAAAAACTATTGGTGTTGGGAAAAACAGAAACTGTGGAAAATTTTTTTTTGAAACAAGCATTTTTATATTAAAAATTTGGTTCTCTTTTTCTTCGTTCATTTCTTTGTGAGTTAAACCAATACAACTTTCTATGTTCGAACAGGAGTTAAGCTCATCCAGAAGGACATCTTTTTAGGAATCTTACAGGGCAAATGTAAATATGATTTACAATCAATATCTCTGCAAGTTTCTTTTACCTTAAATGGCTCATTACAGTTTTACCTTGAATGGCTCATTCTTTTCTACATTAGAAAAGAATGCTAAATTCTTCAGATTTTCATTTTGTAGTTGACTGTCTAACGAAAAGGACCCATTAGATTCTGTATTAGCCACATCACAGCTGGAGTGTTGTGTTGAATTCTGAGTACATTTTTAGCGTAAATGAATATAAAGGAACATGTGTAGGAAAAGGTAAGAATATGGTGAATTATCTCAAAATGTATGATAATTAGGATTGAGTATCCTAGGTAGATTAGAAAACATTTAACATATTTTCAATATATTAAGCACTCATATGAAACATGAAAACTGGTTTCATGTTTTGTTAGTTTCTAAGTAGTCATCACTTCAGACTGCTTCAGAAGTAAAACTTAATAGAAATGACAAAAGCTTTATTTGAATTATAAATCTTCAAATTATTTAATTAAAACATCTTATATTTACTTTATTCCTGCACTGTAATTCATATTTTCCTTTCTTTGAGAAAATAGCAAATAATTATTGTAAATACTCTATTCAAAAATATTTTGAAAGTATTAGTTCAGCTTAAGTGTATTTTGGTAATCAGGCAAAAGTAATAAAGAGAAAAGGTAACAACCTAAATGCTATGTAAAATTAAAAGTTAAGAGAATGCTTTTGTGATAATTGCTATTTTACTCAATAAAGTTTATTGACCCATAAAGTGTAATTGTTTAATAATTACCTTGATGTTGTAAAAATGCCATACACTAGTGTTGTCCTTGGATTATCAGTTTCCAACAGATATACATCCTCTATAAAAAGGAAATAGCATTCTTTTAAAGTTGCTAGATGTTAACTGTATTTTTAAAAATTTATCCTAAGAAAATAATTTCAACTGTAAAAATTATTATTCAGAAAGACATTCCTACAGCATTATTACATTTTGTAAACAACTAAGTGAACTAAATGATACACACATGGTAAACTAAATTTAAAAAGATGTTAAACAAACACTAAAGAGATTTGTAAAAACTGTAACCATATGAAAACCATGCCAGTGAAGTAATATTAAGTGGAAAAGGCACAATGGTATACAACATGGGCTAGAACCATGTAAACCTTACAACTATACACCAGAACACAATAAGGTTACGTTTCTGAGTTAGCAGAGCTATCTAAATTTCCATTTCTCCTTTTTTTCCCTGCATTTTCCAAATATCATTGAATGGTAATATATTGCTTTTCTTTTAATTAAAAAGGATTAGAAATGTCAATTTCTTTTTGACCTAGGATTATAAGTTGGAACATGGAAGAAAACTTTTTCACAGTGACTTTTTTCTTTATATAAGATGTTTTTTGGCTTATGACCAAAATTGCTAGTGATATTTCTATTCAATATAAAATTCTTTTAACAAGATATTTATTAGGACAAAGACAAAGATATGGATAGTAAGGTATAGTAATACATAAGAGAACCTATAGTAGATTTTTCATAGGCAACCCCAGTTGACCAACTGTCTTGATTACAAGAAAGGTCTGGATTTAATGACATTTTTGCAAACAAGATTCTTGTTAAGAATACAAAGAAAGATGTATTTACTTCAAATTTACAATGAATTTAGAACCTCTTGAGCAATAAATTAATAACCAGTAGACTTTCCATATGTGAACAAAGGCTGACACTGTCTAGCTCTGCCTAAAAAACAAGAAAGATGGAAACAACCCATGACACTGAATCATAAACATATTTGCAAAGAATTTGGGAAGAAACAATGAGTGACTAGGTTATAACACAAAATCATACTTAGAACTTTTTTCTAGGAAGCTGACACAGGGATTTTTGTTTCTGTGATGAACATAGCAGCTTTAGAGGAGACCATTTCAGTTTTCATAACTGTTAGAATCAGTAAGTTTTTTCATATTGTCATAACATTTTCGTTGCTTATCTCATCACCTGCCTCAAAAAGCTCAAAAGCATTTTACATTGTAATGGATTAAAACAAAATAAAAGTCATTTTTTCTAAATGGCACTTAGTAAACATAACACTATGATGTATACCAAGTTATTCTGATTAAAAAGAGAACCATTCCTTGGTATGAAAGAATCAGATTGTTAGTCCTTATTTGGCCTGGAAGGTATTACTGTCTTCATGTCACACATGCTGAGAATACTTAATCTCGGTATCAGGAAAAATTTAGACTGGAGCACAAGTCTAATTTCTAGTCTGACACTTCCTATCTAAACTCTATTCTGTCCATTACTGTAATCGTAAAAATACATAGCTGTAGTCTCATACAAACTAATTTCACATCAGAATATTAGAATTTAAATATCAATGAAATGCATATTCATTTTAGAAAATAAAAACATATCACTATTACATGTACATTGCAAGTACTTCTCTCTCTCTCTCTCTCTCTCACACACACACACACACACACACGCATACTCATTCACGTATCATGGTGAATTCAATGAACTTAATGTTCCAGCAGTGCACTTGGGGACAAAAGAGATTTAAAAGGTACTTAAGGAAATTTATGAACAGTATCCACATCATTAATTTCAAGTGGCACATTGTTTATGCTGAAAACATCCATGGAAAACACATCTTCTTAGAGCTTATTAAAATATATATACTTTACAAACTCTCTTTCCAAAATCATTTTTCAATCTCACATCTCTGTACCTAATTCATCAAAGTGTGTTTCTGGGCCGTCTTCGTCAGTTACTGAGCATACCAGCCTTGCTTTTAAGAAGGTAGTCCACTTGTTGACAAGGCTACGCAGTCCACCAGTGTCATTCTGTAACCATTTTGTAAACACATTTCAGATTGCTTAAATAAATATTGAAATGTATTAAAAATTCAACTTGTATTCTTATTACTTGGAGATTTGTTATAACCTTAACTATAGAAATGTTAACCACATCTGCATCTCAATAGCTAAAGAAGAATGTTTAAGGTCTATAGTATATTATGAAATAGTTATACCACTTTTCTCTAACAGTATGGTATCAACTAAAATGTTTCAAAAAATATTAAAATTTTTTAAAAATTATACAACCTAAAACTTTATCCATTTAACAATATGTAATGGAAATATTCATAAAATGTTAATGAGAATACATAGCCTAATTTGCCCTTCTTGATAAAACTCATTGTCTTCATTAAGTTACTGTACATACTGAAGCTTGCAGTCTCCTGTGGTCAGGAGTGGGGTTGGTCCCCAATCATTCTATTTTCTCTCCTTCATTTCTCTGCATTATCATTTAACACTTGGTACTTCTAATCAGATGTTTTGGACAGGGTAGAGAAAATGGCATTTGTATCATTCACAAATCGTCCCTACTGATGACATTTTTCTTCTGTATGCCTAGAAGCCTTTCACCCCTTCGATGGCTTTAGTGCCTTGTTCCAAATGACTGAGAAGCAGATGAGCTCCATGATCAGTGGAATATTAACATTTAAAAATAAACTATTTTAAATACTAAATGCTTTAAATACTAAAAAAACTTTTGCACAAAGGATGCTAATCAGAAATAAGTCAGAACATGCCTGAAAAAACTCCTATGGGAGAAGAGAGCATGAGCTTTTTTGAGTTGCTAAGTATACTTACTTTTTATACACAAGAACATTTTGGTTATTGTACTTAAAATTATATTTTACTACAGCATTTCTTAATTTTCACTGTCCTAGACAGCTCCTCAATAATTGTCTTTTACTGAGATTTTGCTGTATTTTACTCACATGAAGTATTCTGTTTCTTTCTATAATATACAATTTAGCTATTTATGTTTAATATTAATGCATTAACTGGGAAAGTAAAATTTAATAAGAACTACTCCCTACTCATGTAAAACCATACCCAAAATATTTTCTTGAATTATGTTTTTTGCTGAAATAGGGTGTTTATCTTGCATGGTTAATGTGAATGAACATTGTACTAAAACGTTTCCTCTCAATATTTTATTAATTTGTAACAGTAGATAAAAGTAGGAAGATAAAGTATTGGGAAAAGAAAGCATAGTTATATCATTTGAATTTCTTAGCTGTTCTTCAAATGAGAACAACATTAATACTTACAGGACATATTCTAGCAATCATGGAATGAATCTGTTTGGTGCTTCTACTATTATCAGTCAGTTTCTCTTTGAAGAAAAAGTACACCTTAGCATCATTTGGATCAGTGCCATCTGGGATGACATGTGCATCCACAAATATAGGTTCTGGAAAAAAATGCAAAGACTGTATCTATATCTATCTATATCTAAACTCATGATGAAAATCCTTCCAAGTAGTTCACACAGGTAGACCATAGGCACATGTCTTCTCCATTTTTGGTACAGAAGAACAATTTGATGTTCATAGGCAAAAAGTCTAAAGGCAGTAATTGTATTAACTCAACATAAGGCATTTAGAATGTCAAGTGCCACAAAGTATAGCTACAATATGATAATTTAAATTATTTTTCTCTGCAATACATTCTGGAAGTGCAATAAGTACAACAATTCTTTGCACACTGATGAGTTTTAAAAATTTCAAAAGCTTTCCTAACAGTTATTTCCCATGGAATTTGATGGTATTTAATTAAAAAAAACACTTGTTTTTCAAAGTGTGGTTTCCAATATACTGCATATAAATACAAATTCACTGAAGCAGAATGAGAAGTTGGGAGTCCAAGATCTGAAAAACACATTTTTCTTAAAATATAGAATATGAAATGAAAGGGAAACTTTTCAAGGAAAAAATACAGTCATTTGAACACACAGAATTCCTTATTTCAGGAACAAAACAACTTTTAAATTACTCTATTTCCAGATGTACTGGAGGAATAATTTGAAAAAGTAAATGGACAATTAATGCTTTCTTGTGTTGGCCTATCAGCAAAATAAGAATGCTTAACTGTAGTGATTCATGCTTAAGTGTGCAATGTTAAATGAATTGCCCCATTTAGGGTCAGTTAGAAATTTTCCCCAGGGTGAAATGACAAAGATCCTAGTGGTTTCTTCCTTCTCTAAATAAGAGCAACTGATTAGAATTGAATATTAAAATCAAATGTGTACCTTCCATAGTATGAATTCCATATGACCCCAAGAACTGGAAACAGTTGAATAATGATAATCATAAAATTATCATACCTATGATTTCTATTATGTATAAAATTATGAAAAAATAATATTTACTAGTTATATAATTTTAGATTCAAGGTATAAAATAGGAGGTATTCCTAAATATCCCTTATTCATTTTATCTAACTGCCATAGGTCAATTTATAAATTTGGTAATATTAAAATACACAAGCAACTAAATGAATAAGTGGCATGTTTAACTGTAATATAAATAAACAACTGGAGAAGATTCTTGTGTATGGGACTATATGATGAATATAACATCATTTTTATTTATTCATATATTCTATGAGAATTATATGATGGTTAATAAAGAGTTAGAATATAAACTGTGGACTATTTCAATTATTTATTCTAAATATTTAAAATCATAGCATACAAAATTGTTTTTACTCATATTATGGCCTGGTATTTTGATTTTATTAGCCATTTTAACCTAATTTTCATTTGGAATTAAACAAATTAGTTTAAAGCATGATTCTCAAAAAATGCATAAAATGTTTTCTTACCACTTAGCCATTTGGAATTGTGTTGATCAGTTCTGACTGCATTCCTTTTGGTTAAACTTCGAAAAATAGCAGCATCTGTCCCCATGAAATCTATATACATTCCAGAGAAAAGCTCCTCATCTATGAATAAGAAAGAAAATGTCAACACCATTTCAACTGTTTCTTAAGGCTATTCTCCAATAAGGAGGACCTGCTTAATAGATCATCACACATATTACAGTGTTTATAATAACTAATTGGTTTCCATTGTCCACCAAATCAAAAACTGGATAAAGTTTATTCTGCTCTCATTACTGCCTGTAGGTTACCAAAACAATTTACATTATAGAAATAAAAATTTCCCTGCCTGTACTTAATTATACTAAATACCTATGTTTATATAACATATTTCAGAAATGGCAGAAATAATGTATGAATAAAGGATTAAAAATGGCTGAATTAGTTATTACTTTAATAAATAAAAAGTACTGTAATAGTCAGAAAACTTGGTTTCTAATTTTGGAAGTTATTAACAAACTGGTATTTAGTCTAAGTCATTTACCTCCTTGAATCTCAGTATTCTCATCTGTAAAATATGGGAATTAGGTTATGATCTCAAAAGTTCTCATTACATAATAAAATTCTGATTGTATTAAATAGGTTGAAAATAATAGTTGTATTATCATCTCATGACATGTAGGCCATAATAAAATTGCTAAAATACTATTAATGATAAAATGATCTTATGAAAAGTGTATGTTTTGATCAACAGCTGTAAGTTTTCTATAAGGTAAATGAAGTGCTACTCTCTCAACTGCAACACACAACATATTAATATCATATATAATATTATGTTAATAAACTGCAAATGGTTTAACATATTAAGCCATAAAAATAGAATGCAGAGACAAGAAAGAAATTGTATTTAAAAATTCAATTATCATTATTAATGCAAAATCAGATATCTTAATGTGTATATACATAACATTAGACATTTAACTTACTTGCTAAGATTCTTATTAATTTTTATCCTGCTAAGGAGAATAAGCATGGAGCTGGTATGTGTGGCCCTTGAATACAAAACAGTAGTTAAGTATCTATTTTAAAAAAGAATAAAATTTTTCAGGTCTGGCCCACTGAACCACCATGCAACTGGGTTCTTTGACAATTCTAGAATTATTCCTATGGCTTTCTTCAAATCATGGTCATTTTGGCAGGACTAGGACATTTTTGAAGCACTTTAAGCTCACTGTTTAGTAATAAGCAAAAGCATCTGGCCCAGAATAGAATGGAGAATGGAATGTTTTTAATATGCTCTCACCAGGTCATGAACTGGACCCCTACCAGTTAGCAAGCGGGCATGGCGAGCATTGTGTTGCCCGGTTCTGCTTCCTAGTAGGGGTCTGAAGCCCACGGGAACAGATTATAGGAGATAACAAAATGTGCGTGAACACATTTTGAAAACTTAACTTCTTAAAAAATTCTGTGAACATTTGTGAAGCATATATGCAGCATTCTGTAGATGCATGGTTGTTAAATTGAGATAACTTTGTGATTAATTATTCCACATTTTTGTTATGCCCTATTAAGCCTAAAACAGTGGGCTATAAATTCCTGCTATTCAATAGGTTGATTAGCACAGCAATCAATTATCATGTCTGCTTCCAAGAAGGAAAAAAGGACACCAGAGAGGGCCAGCTCTGATCCTACTGCATATCATCTTACCAGTTATGTCTTAGACATTACAGAATCCTACATGTCAAACTAGCTTCATTTCCTTTCTTAATTGTCAGTAATTTTAATAGCAAGTCAGAACAATATAGTTTCTGTTTTACTATGTGTAAGAAATATTTAATGAATGTCACTTTTCAAACAATTTCGTTTGAGAGTGAGGATTTTTTCTTCAGAATTTCTTTGTTAGGCTTATGCAAAGATAAACTTGTGCCTTTTAACTTTAATCCAAAAATATTTTGTCCTCCAATTATACTCCCACTGACCAGAAAAACCTCATGGGGTTTTTGATAGGTTCTTTTAAGAGATATCATCTCACTTCTTCATTGTGCTACAATGACTAAAAACAGCAAAAGAGCACTAAACTTGCACAAAGGGTTAGATGCCACAACTATATTGTGAAATTTGGAATTTTTCTAATTCTCAGTGTTTCTTGCCATTTTAAAACATAGAAATGTTTTACCAATCTGTGTTATTTAGTGCATTTCAATTGAACAGAAATGATAAAGCCCTATATAGCAAAGTGAGGTGACTACACAAATCCACTGTGAATAGTGGAGACAGTATTGGAGATAATTTAGAGGGATAATCAACAGAACAAATAAAAAGACAAATATAAGCTTATAAAGCTTTCTGATCTTTTTAGTATCATTGTTTAATGACTTTCTTTGATATTGTAAATCATAATGTTAATCAAAATATTAAGTGGTAGTATAGAAATATGAGCATAAGAATGGAAATTTCAGGTCCTGAAAAATGAAGGTTAATAGCTCATTTTAATTTTGTAAACAAATCCAATTCTCTAATGGGAAAAACTATTAAATGATTTATCAAAATTTAACAAGAAAATTTATGATGCCTTGCTCTAGTCCTCTTTTATTCTAAACAATATTTGATGGATAAAATTCCAGATTTAGTGTTAACAGATTTTGAAGTTTTTTTTCATAGCATTTAACTTGAAATATGGAGAACTCTCTCTCTATATATATACACCAGTTAAGGTGAATTTCATATATTTTCCTAAAGGTGAACAAAATTTCCTTCCTAATGAACAAAAGGCTTTTCAGGACACTGCTTCTACTAAATAATATTTAGAAACTAACCTGAAAAGATCCTGCATTAGACAGTCATACTTGAATATCTTGGAGTTTCAAAGCTTTCTAATTTTTTGTCTTGATAAAATATTTTCATATCCCCTCACCCCAATTTGAATAATCACATGAAAATAATTCAATGGATAACTTCCAAGCTTACATCTTACTCAGTGCTGGACCTGTCTGTCTGAGTTTCCAGATATGAGAAAGATGAGTTGCCTTTCAAGTCAATCAAAGCAAAGTGTTCTGAACACAGTAGTTATTTTTCCACCTGTTCTATCATCAAGGGATGCAGTTTTACTCTCTGGCAATACATAGGGCAGATTGGGGAAAAGGTATCTACTATATACTAGACATATTGAGATCTAAGATTTGTCCCCACTGTCAACTCATATTAAGTCAGACATATTCTAGAAGTGAAGAGCCTTAATAAACCAAAAGAGAATGTCTTTTAAGTGAGTTATAGAAAGGCATCTGATGACAAGACATTGATCTGACAAAGTAGGTAGCAGCAAGGTGTGCTTCTTAACTGATGTATTTTATGGAAAATGAGAACAAAAAATGACTTTACCACTACTTCTTTCTTAGTATAGAAAGCTCTGAACAATTAATAGAGAACATACTTCACTAACACATACACTGTTATTCTTTTATTTAGGAATACATTTTTAATCATTTGTAAAAGATGGCTAAAACATGAGGTAAAGTGGCTCAACTTAATACTAGTAAAACAATTACAGAAAACATTGAACATTACTTTACAACATATACTAATATGTCAATATATTTTTAGTAACAAGTAATGTGTATACACATATACACGTTTTTCTAAATGGTTGACATGTTTTGGGAATGACAGCATCATCATATTAGATGTAAAAATACCTGTTTATCATTTAATCATGAATATTTTTGGAAATAACCCAAAATTTCTAGTTCTCAGCTCACAACCTTTTTCCTATTATTTTACTAATGCACTATCATCCATGTAACTATCCAAAATGGGAATAGAGTATCACAAACTCATTTTCTTTAATTTCCTTTCTGTTTTATATTTCCTCCTCCCTCTTTCATTTCCACTTACTGATCATAACAGATACGGTGTTCACATTGGGGTTGAAAGAGCAGCGTCCTTTTCCAGATTCACACTTGGAGTCAATCATGAAAACTTGGTCCTTCATTATAGATAAAATTGAAAATATGTAACAACAAATAATCTTATATTTAGTTACCCAATTTACTTTTCATATAACAGCATCATCATAAATCATATGCATTCTACCTGCTGCTTATGCCTTCCCAGTTTACTATATTAAGACATTCTTGAACTATATGAAGAGTTGATCTGTAAATTACAAGCTAACTTTAGCAGGTCAAGTTCTCTTTCTATTACATTCCCCATAAAGCTGAACCAACAAGTCCTCAAATCAACATCAGGAAAACCACTTGGAAATCAAAGATCATTATAAAACTGAGGTAGATATGCTGGGATTGGACAAAAGAAGAAAACTGTCCACAGAGAAACAATGTCTATAAGGATTACAATATTTCCAAAACAATCAAGACAGTTTTTAATAGAAAATTTTATGTTACTACTTAATTTTGCTTTATGAAACATTTCACTAGATTCAAAAAAATAATTTATAATTTAGATTAACATGTTTCATTTACTCATTCATTTATTTATTTAAAAAATATATATATTAGGCATCTATGTGCCAGCCACTGACAAAACATTGAGAATAAAGCAAAAAAAGAAAAAAACAGACAAAAGTCTTTACGCTCAAGTAATTCCTACTATAATGATGGAGAATGTAAATATATAAAATACAGAGTATGTTAGATGATACTGCTTAGGACAGAGTTAAGCAGGAAATGGGACTCAGGAAGCCCAAGGGGTTGGGTTAGTGGGTTCAATCTGAAATATAATGGTCAGTACAGCCTCACTTACAGGGAATATTTTGTTGATATATTAATCTTTTTCTTATATAAAGTTAATAAAAACTGCTACTAAATTTCAAAGAAAAAATTAGCACTTTTGTAGACTGCATTAGATGATGGGGGACCTTAATTATTAAGCTAAGGTTTTTCAAAATTATACTGAAAGAGATGTGGGCTGAATATTTTTTTTAGTAAGGAAATGAAAGGATCAAAACTCTACTTTAAGAAGACTGAGAATGGCAATTATAAAACAGGCCTGGATTCAAGAAAATAGATTTGTTGTCAATTGCAATAGTCCAGCAATTAGGTAATAATAATCTGATACCCCAGGATCTCGGTGGTTGTGGTAAGAACAGTAATGATGACAGAGCATTTGTAAAGTGAAAATCAATAGAACTTGACAATCAATACAAATTAGATATTGTTCAGGAAGAGGAAGAAACAAAGATGATTCTGAAGTTTTCACTCCACAGAACGAAAAATGAGTTCATTTTTGTTATATTGAGTATTGGCAGGACATCCCTGAGGCAACAGGGAATCACATAGCTTAAAGAATCACAGTCCTCTAGCATAGACAGGTCCTACAACATGATCTTCTTCAATGAATTAACTCTACAGATGAGGAAAATATGACTTGCCCAAGATTGTGTAGCTAGTGACAAAGCAAAATTAAAACTCAGTCTCCTAACTCCTGGCTATGTCTGCTTTCTGAAAGGTGGTCTTTAATATAATGACTAAACTAAATAAATAATGATAAACTTGAGGAAAAACAATTATGTTTAGTAAGCCTTGTTGTGATTCTTTAGCCACAGACATATGTAGATTTGACTAAAAAAGTGAGGAATTGGCACTGCAGGAATTGATAAGATTGCTTGGGTACCACTTGCCCTCCCCTGCCCTTCCCCATTGCACAGCACCCTTGTACTCACAGAGTTAGGGTCTATATCTTGTCATCACTAGAAAGGGATGTGGTCCACCTTAATAATCACGTATTCAAGCACCCTGTAACAATTCTTTAAACTCATTTAAGAATTCTATATTTTTTTCCTCTTCTTGACTTTATTAACCAGTTTATATTCCATGCTCTAAAATTTCTGTAATTTTTGCAAAAATAATAAGTTCCTTTACTCTTTTTCTCATTACATCCAGCTTGGAAGAACACATCTATCTACAGTCTCCATACCTGCATCCAAACTTCTATGCATTTTGCAAAAGGCAATCCAAGAAAGTAAAAGAAATATGATATAGATTTATAATCACTAACATAAAATGGACTCTCTATACTTCTTAGCAACCTTTCAAGGACACTCTTGACAACTGGTTCTTCCATTAATAATTTCAAACAATTGCCACTATAGTCAAACCTCCTAACTTACTCCTAACTCATATGATTGACAACTACATTGTTGAGAAAGTGAAGGCATTAAAAGAGACATCTTCACCTTCTCACTACCAAACACATAAACAGATACACTCTAACACATGCAGTAATACATAAGAGGAACTATTTCTCTTACTTTGAGGGCAATCCTTCCACCAATGTTTTGGATCTCATCTTATCCAGTCTTCTGAAGTAACTTAAACTTTCCATTATCCCTTATATTTATTTGATCTTGTTAACTGGACCCTTTACAGTATCATTGAAACAACCCCTTTAACTCCTATATATCTCTCTTCTTGAGAATCACATTTCTTAAAAATTTTACAAATACTCAGCACCATTCCCCTTCTTTACAATTTCTTCTCAATCCCTTTCAATTGGGCATCAAACTTCAATTGTCCTACTGAAACCCTTTTGGATAAATCCTTAATGGTAACCATGCTACACAATTCAGTGCTTTTTTTTAGACCTCATCTTACTTGGATACTCAATGATATCTGAGATTGTTTCCCACTTCTATTTTTTTTAAGGGTTACTTTTATTCCCAGAACTAACATTCTTGTTTTCCCCCGTTTCTTCTTAGTGTTGTTTGAAAGTCCCTTTTACTCCTTCTGGCCATTTCAGTTGAGAGATTCTCAAGCCCCAATCACAGTCCCTCTTTTCTTTTCACCCTGTACTCTTTGTCTGATTAAACGCATACTTTGCTTGGGTTTCAGTTACTCTTATAAAACAATGACTCAAGCATTTATATAGCCAACTTTATATTCAACTGCCTACTTAATATTTCTACTTGTATCTTTCAACAGCATCTCAGATTCAACAGAGCCAAACCCAGGCTCATAATCTTAACCTCAAACCCAGTTCTCTTCATTATTTCTCATATCTCAGCTCATGGCAACTGTACAATTAAAGAGGCCAACATTTACAAACAACAGACAACAAAAGTGTAAACATCTGTGTTATTATATATTTCCTTTTCCACAGCCAAATCCACCAGTATCACCTATACTATACTACAGTTTTTGCCTATTTCTCTGTCTTCATTGACACTGGTTATAATAATACTTTTCTCGGTCTACTATATCAACTCTCTAACCACAGGCCTCCCAAGCCCTTCCCAGTCAAAATCATAATAACATAACACACAAGTGACAATACAAATCTGTTCATGCTATTTTTTGCTTAAGGTCTTCCCAGTTGCTTTTCCTTTGACACAGGAGAAAGACCAATATCTTAAAGGTAGCTTACAAGTTTTGACATGATTTCATTTTGCCATTATTCTCATTAAATAAAATACATATTTGTAGATTGAATCAAAAAGAGGAAAAAATAGGACCAGAAAGAGAACAGGTGGTAAAAAAATTAGTATAGAAGGCAAAGCAAAATTTCTCATGGTTTTGACAATACAGCATTGAAAAATTTAGGGCATGACCAACATGTTACAGCTCAATCTAGGAGAAAGATTAGGGGAGTCAATTTGATCATTGAGGAATCTTAGTCATTAGGAAATAATTTTAGCTAATGGGTGGGAAGGAGTCATAGTAGAAAGATTTAATAAAGACATGGAAAACAGGAATATAAAAACTGAAAATATAGCCTAGTAGTCTGAGTTTTGTGATGACGTAAAAGAGAAAGTAGAGTTTAAAAAGTCATAGATATAAGATAATGATTTTAAAGAAAGGAAAATAATCCTATTTTGAAATAGGATACAAAGTGAATGCAGGGGAAAGGAAATGAAGTTGTAAAACAGACTGATGAAAGCTATTGAACAGAGAACATTATGCAGAACTTTTCTTCTAGCAAGAGAAAAAAACCTACAAGAAGATGCATGAACAGAAAAGTTTAGTGACTAATTTGCTTCAAAAAACAGAGGAAATGATTTGGATGCCTCTGATAATCTTGGTCATTTTGATATTCTTGGTTAAAGTAAAAATAATCTGTTTGATAAGTGGTGGGGTCAGGGTCTTAAACAGTATTCAGTTGTTGGAACTTATGTGATGGAGGTATCTGATAAAATCAACCAGAGATGAGATGTGGTGATATTCCAAGAATGTGTATCAAAATTAACCAATAATTGTTTTTATTAATGCTTTATTTATTATTTGAAGTCATTATTGTTGTTTCACATTTTGCCATGCATAGAAAAAAAGAGTGAAGAAAGTGGATGGAAGAGAAGAACCATGGTAAGGAATTGAATGTAGCAAGGATTGTAGGCTTTTTAGATGGACACTATTGAAATGTTCTAGGAAGGTTCTGAATCAGTCTCACAAAATAACAGAAGAATCATAGGGTATAAAGAAAGTACATGATGTCCCAAATGTGAAGTAGGATCATAACATATTCTCTGAGAACCAGTGAGTTGTATTTGACAGGCAGATAAAAGTGGATAGTGTCTCAGAAATAAAATTGAATAATTAGTAAGTATGCCACCCTAACCTGTTTCACTTTCAAACTGGCTTCAAATACATGAAAAAAGCCATATCTTAGCACTAAGAGCAGGTTATTAGCAGTCAGCACTACCTATGGTCATTATAAAATTTCATGTTAGAGATGAGTAAGTAGGAAAATTCTCTGAAAACACAACTTTCTGCATCATGTGGTCATTTTATGCTAGGGAATTTTTTATCCTGTAACTAAAGCAAACAAATACATTAGATATTTGATAAAACTGTGTATTTTAGATTTACATTGTTATTTATATATTATAGATATATAAAAATACTATTATGGTGAAGCACTTTGACTTGACTATCAAGGAAAAGATATAAAGCTTAAAACTCACAACCCTTTTTCTTACTTAAATTGGTTCCTAAGATGTTCACATATTATTTGGAGATTAATTAATGGAAATGGTTCCCCTTTGAAATATATCTTTTGAAGTGAGACTAAAGTAGTTCATATTTAGTAAAGTGATTAAAGTTTACTCCATGCTGGTTTTCCAAAGGAGATTATTTTTTGGATCAACTTTCCAATTAAGCCTTGACATGCATAGTGGGCAATCTGTACATGGGAAAATGATTTTATTTGAAATCTGTGCTCTAAAACACATGCTATGCTATTGTTGGCTTATACAGTGACTCCACAGCTTTCAGTGGGATTGCAGACGTCTGGAGCAGTAGTTTATTTCATCAATTGATCACAGGCATGTGGTTCTAATGCAAGCTCAATATAGTCAACTGTACTCTTCCAAGAAGCATAGCTTAGTTTTCTTTAAGAATTTTAATATTTCATATCATATTGAGCCAGTTGGAAATGCCTCGTTTTGGGTTAAATTATAATTATTGTTATTTTCAATGACTTTTTATTCACCAAAGGTATATGTATAGATTACATGTTTAGAAAAAATTTAATGATAAAGGAATATAGAGAGAATCATTGTTCTGTTATATTAGCACTAAAGTTGATAAATCCTTGTTATAGGAAAATAAACTTAAAGTATATCAGCAGATATATTTAATATTTTTTATAATTCTAATCTCCAAAGTGAATTAAAACATTATTTAAGAACTGGAATTCCCAGATTTCAGTTGCATAATGACACCAATGCAAGATAATTTGAAGGAATTCAGCTTTTAGAATAGTTGTATTTAAGGAAACAATAGGTTTGCCTAGAAGAATGAGGAAAAACTCTATTGGTCTAATGAACAGTTTCCTAGTCAATAATTGTGAACTGGAATAAACACAGTTGTAAATATCACTGGTGAAGTTCAATTAAACTTACACTTGATTAGATATTGACTATATATTTAGTCTATAGCAAATGCTTTTTTTTTTCACAGAACCCAGATCATTTTTACAATGTAAGAATAAGACTGGAATAGCCTGGTGTAGACCAATGTTGGTCTAAAATGAAAGTATGATTGATTAATTATACGTTCTTTACAGCAAAGGCACTTGGCATCCTGCTTTTATACATCTCTCAGGAAAATATATATATATATAGTTGAGAGCAGAGGTCAATATTTTAGCCTGATAGGAAACAACTGTAATATATTTGGTGTTTAAAGGACTTGAATTTTTGGCTACTGATATTTTAGACTTTTTACTCTAAAATTCAGTTTTAAGAAATCTTTGACACTACCACCAAAACTAAGAATGAAACCTGTTAGACTTACCTCTGATCTCCTCCCCCTGTTCAAATAAGTACAGACGGGGCTGAAAGCACCACTCCCACAAACATACAAATGAGTGCGATTAAAGGCCTGAATGACACGGACGAAGTTCCCACAGCCATGCTAGAAGAATACATAAATAAGCAATTAGTAACCCAAAGAAATAAAAATTTCTTGCTATTTGTAAGGATTACTGTGATATTTTACTACACATTGTCCTTTCTGCTCTAAGTTTTTGTTGTTAGGAGATAATAAGAGAACAACATGGTTTATTCTGTTGGTTTAGTTCAGGAGGAAGGTAGTCCTGAAGGTAGTCCTGAGGGTAGTAAAATGATTTTCTCTGTCGTATTTCAACATTTTTTATCCTGTTTAATTTTTTATGTTCTGAAACTGGAAAGTATGCCAAACTGTCTCCTCAAATTTTCCATAAAACATTGTCTCCTCAAAATTTCTGTAAGACGTTACACACACACACAATTATATAAACATGATCTGAATGAAATTGTGCTTATAAAAAGTCCACATTATGATTAGTACACAATGACAAACACTATGGGTCTTCACAATTGGTGAATAAAACAAACCTTAAACAAATGCCGGCATTGTTGTTTTCCATGAAAAATGATGTCATCATTATCCTCTGCCCTGGATCCCCTAAAATACTTTCCTCTGCCCCAAAATCTCCATTCTCACCTGTTCCTTGTCCAACCATTGGAAAGACTATCACTCAGTCACTTAATGGAATGCAAAATAATTATTGCAATTATAGTTGACTACAACATTGTAGAAGTATATAACCATGGTCAGCACCAAACACAGATCTCAGTGACTGAATTAATCATTGCATGTTCTACATTTTCTAAGGTCCCTATTCATTTTTACTACAAATTAATTAAGCCTGAGGATGAATGTTGTTTCTTTCATGAAGTCATTTTTCTTACAAAGCACATTATTAAAAATATTGTTATAAATTAGAGACATTTTTAATCAAGAAATATATAAAAAGATTACAGTGATCTTCCCATGGGTGGTCAGACAGCATTTTTTTTTCTCTTTAGGTACCGAGCATTTTATAATATGCATTTATTATTTAAGTTATTAGAAAAACAAAAAAATTGCTAAAATAGAAGTTAAATTTTATTTACAGTCAATGTTATATCTATTTTCTCCCTTTTTATTCATTCTTACTTGCCAGCAAATATATGCTTATTTTCATATGCAGTAATTTTATACATATATTTCAATTATGTATTTTTATTATCAAATAATCATAATTAACTTTGCTGTCAAAGACCAGACTATAGACTTTATTTTTATTTTAAGACATTAAGGACTTCATTAAATGTATAGTGTCATTGTATCCTGACATCTATTTATAGAGGTACCTGGAAATTGATTACATAATTGCAAATGATAATATGTTTCTCTGGAGATAAAGCACAGATGAAGTATGATGTGTATATAATATGTCTATGTCAAGGGTATCTGTAAGCAATTAGAGTTGTGTTTATTTTGTTCACATTCAAGTTTTCAAATTTAATCATTTTGGGATTCTGTATATAGTATTTTCCCCTAAGACATCAACTCAATCCAATTTTATTAATAATAGTTATGTTTGTCTCATCTTGAGTTTTGTAGACAGTTTATCATCATGAATCATGTTAATGGGAAAAGAAAGAAGTCACTAATATCTCTTTTATATTTCAAATACAGATTATACTTATTTATGTATATGTTAATATCTACATATATATTACATATACTTGCTAGGCTAGTATTTGTTGAGAATTTATTATGTGCTAGACACTGGAATAATCATTTTATACATTTAACACCTTTTACTTCCCAGGAGGTTTGATTTCTTTTTACCTATAGTTCATATTTATTGAGCATGGTATATGCTACATACCATCCATTCAATTTTTAAAAAATAACTCAACACTTTTTAGAAATATAAAGTTTAGATATTTTTTGCTAACTTGCTTGAGATCATATAACTAGAAATGGGCAAGGCAGATTTTCAAACACAGATGTATCTAACACTGAATTTTGCACTTTAAACCACTTTATGATTTGTCATCAGGTAAGGAATCCATAGTTGTTAGAGGAGAGTTTTTAAAGCAACAGTTATAAATGTTTAGAGAGCTCTTAATTATTTGATGTTGTTTTTAATCTTGACAACAATGTTCCAATTAAAGTATTAATCCCATTTCAGTGATGAAAAAATCAAGTCCCAAACAGGTTAAATGAAATGCTCCCAGTTTAATACATAACTGAGCTGGGTCTTGAACCATAGCTACTTCCATCATGCAGCTTTACAGGAAGGGGTTGATTACCCATGAGACAATTCCCACACTATCTGCTGATGCTGAGCGTGCCCCTCCACCACTCTCCACAGAACAAAACATAAAAGAAAAAACAAATCAGTTGAGTTAATTACTGAAAACCATTTTCTGGGTCCCTTCCATTTTCATTGTGCTGCCTTAGTTTCTGTCCACATTATTTCTGACCTAGACAATTGCAATGGTTTCAATTCTATCCAGCAAATATTTACTGAACTCATTCTTTGCAAGCGGTGTACATGGTGCTGTCAATACTGGAATGAATAGATTAAACTCTTGCTTTCAGAGAAAGAAGGGCATAATATGTCAGGCTGTGGTGTAGCGGATGCTTTAACAGGATTATAGTTTTCAAAGCTTGCTTAAGAAGGAAAGAAGTGAGAGTGAGTAATGCTGACCTAGGTGTAAGGTTTGAGAGGGGATGTCATTTGCACTGGAACTTGCAGAATAAGCTAGAGATTTTGACAGACAAAAGCATAAGGAAAGAACATTCGAGTGGAAAACGGAGCATGGACAAAAAAAATGGAGGTATGCCAGTATAGGACTTCGTTGAGGAATAGTGCCTAGAGAGGGTGCATGATTATTGTGTGCTGAACCAGAGATGCAATTAGAGTTGGTCTGTCATCATGCTCATCTTCAGATGAGCAGTAGAGAGTGGATTTAAGCATACAAATCTCAGAGCCAGATGACCTGTGTTCAAACTGTGGCTTTATCTTTACTAAGCTGTTTGAACTTTAGACATTTACTTAGCCTCACTGTGATTAAATCTTTTATCTAAATAGTGATGATAATATTTGCAGGTGGGCAATATACCAATAAAACACTTGTAATAATGTCTGGCACATAATACATACAGTGTTAGCTATTACATTGTCTCACATGCATTTTCAATTTTGATTGTCCGTACAATCTCTGTAAAGTGGACAGGGCATTTGTCTTGCACAGAACTTAGTATAGGTCCTGACCATAGCAGACATCCATAATAGGTTTGGGGAATGAGACTTCTGTGAAATTCAGTATCATGGATGTTGTCTTATCATTGTTTAATTCTCTTTCAAAACTATTTAATGTTATGAAGCTAAATGAAAAATCAGGCTGCTAAAATTATGTAGAATATACATATATGTGTCATATAAGAAAATGTTGGTCAGTATTTCTTTGGTCTAGGGAATAAATCAAGGTGTTTTGATAAATGTATTCCTCAAGAATATATATATTTTCCAGTAGTTTAGCATTCTCTGGTCACATAAATAGGGAAACTGATATTCTACAATTAATAAAGTTTGGCATTGTGTAAATATAATGCATATATGTCTGAATTTATATAATACTGCTTAATTTTTTGACAATATCTTACAGCATTTACTTAGCACATTCATTATGCCCTATCTCATTGGATATGTTTGACAGCATGTGCTAATGCTTAAGCTCAATTTATTTTGAGTATGAATAAAATGTTAAATTTAGAAATACAAGGAGCATAAAGGAATGTGAATACAAAAGGGCAGAGAGGGAAATGGAAGGTAGGTCATGTTTCCTTAGCTGAGGCAGAAAAAATTAGTATATTCCTATACAAGAATTTATTTTCTTCATAATATTAGTTTATTATGGCATTAAGATATATTATTACCTGGATCAAATATTAAATTATATTGAGTTATTTTCTAGTAACTTGTTTTTTATTACTTTAGTTAAAATTTTATATGATTAAGATGATCTAAATGAACAAGGGATGCTTGCTTGATTCTATGTTTTTGTTTTTTCTTTCAATTGTTACAGCAGTATGGATTTTAACTGTCACTAGTTTATGTTTTGCTTAATAGATGATTAATGTAATATTTAACAGCAAAACAATTTAACCAAAATGCATTTCTAATATATGTGCAAAATGAATTTATTACAAGCATTGCTAATCTAAATTGTCACTGTCTGAAGAAGTGACATCTGCACTGACATCACTTGAAAGGATGAGTAGATGATTCCCAGGCTAAAAAGACAGGAAGAAAGTTGGACAAGAATACTATGTGGCATGTACCAAATGCTGAAAGAGGGAAATGGTACAATTTACTTGAATTTTGGTATCATTGAAATAAAAATAAGAGGAAATGTTAACACAATACCTAATAGAGGTGTCACCAGATCCAATAAACCTTTCCTAAATATCTTAGCTGCAATGTGTTTTTCTTTGTCTTCTGTGTGTATCCTTAGCCTCTACTATATTCTTCCTAGTGAGGTGGCAGCTAAGGGTGCAGGATCTGGAGCTATACGTGTGTGTGTGAGTTAGACAGTGGCCTCCTACTTGCTGGTAGTGCAGCTTTTGGTAAGTACCTTAATCTCTTAATGATTCAGTTTCTTTATCTTATCAATGTGGATGATGACAATAATGTCCACCTTGTAGCATTGTTATGAGGATTAAAATAAAGCCCTTAGAACAGTGCTTGGTCATTTCATTAAATGTTGGCTATTATCACTTGATAATTCTGGCATATATGTCTCATCATCTGTAGTATATTGGAAAGACTCTTGAAAGTAGGGCTCCATCTTATTCACCTCTGGTTTCTTCATAAACAACTGATTTATGCAAATTAAAATATTCAAGTCCTGTGTTTCTTTAAAATTAAATAGTAAGTAATTAGGTGATATTTACTCCAAGGAAATTAAGAAATTCTCAAATATTTTATATCATTGGAAAATGTAATAACAATACACTGTTCTATAGAACTTCTAAAGACCTATTTAGCTTCATTTCTACCACTGGCCTTTTTCCTGTGGCCTGATTAAAGG